CATTTTTATGTTTATGTGGAATTATAAATTGTTAACATGGGTATTTTGGTCTAAATTCTCTCAAAACGGACATTTTGTGAAATTTTCTCTTTCATTAATTCATAGGATCGAGAGTTTAAATTGAACAAAAAAAAAAAAGAAAAGTTCAAGGACTAGTCTAGGATAAAATTGTTTTATGATCATAGCAAAAAAAGTTACACATTGGGTGATGTTAAAACTATAATTGCAGTCAAATTCGTGTCTTTTCTTAACATCTAAAACTTTAGATAATTTGATTTAACATTCATACTCATTTATAAAAGAATTATGTACTGTATCTGTATGTGTGCGTATTTATTTACTTTCTGGTGAATTCTTGGATTTGATTGAGAAGATAATAACAGAATTGTATTTCCTATGGTGTCGGTATTTGGACGGTAATCATTAATTTACTGTCTGAATTTCACAGGTTAATTACATCAGTCAACCCTCTACAGTTTCTTGAACAGTAATCATAAATGATTTAAAACCCATAAGACCCCATCTAGTTTCACACATCAACAATAGGTACACGCTTGTATTGAATTTCTTGTCGATGTGTTTTGGAACTGTATCAAAGACGTAACGATTTCGATAGTCTTGACTATCAATTCAGTGTTTTTTAGTTGTTGCAGATATAATTTGGAAGCTTGATGGGGTACTTATTTTCATGAAATCCGAAAAAATGAATCCGACTAACAAACAAAGAGACTTGCTAATCTTGAACACTTCTAAGATTTCGAATGATACATTGTACAATTACAGAAGAAGAAAGTTTTTTACATTTCAGAATTTGAAGTTCATGACATCTTCAATCTGACAATAGCAAAGATTAAGATAAGATATTTGGAAATTTTAAGATGCTGAATGTAGGAGAAGTGAATCTTGAAAATCTTCTTTACATGATACTTCCACCAGTAGGTAAGAAGTAACGCCTTACAGTTCCAGAAAAGAATATCATACTTTATCGTTCCTGTCTTAAGTACAAGACTATTCACTTTATGACAAGAATGTGTTACACGAGTTGTGTACCTTTTTCTTCATATACTCCTCTTCTTT